ATCCATGTACATGTGTGTACATCCATGTACATGTGTGTACATCCATGTACATGTGTGTACATCCATGTACATGTGTGTACATCCATGTACATGTGTGTACATCCATGTACATGTGTGTACATCCATGTACATGTGTGTACATCCATGTACATGTGTGTACATCCATGTACATGTGTGTACATCCATGTACATGTGTGTACATCCATGTACATGTGTGTACATCCATGTACATGTGTGTACATCCATGTACATGTGTGTACATCCATGTACATGTGTGTACATCCATGTACATGTGTGTACATCCATGTACATGTGTGTACATCCATGTACATGTGTGTACATCCATGTACATGTGTGTACATCCATGTACATGTGTGTACATCCATGTACATGTGTGTACATCCATGTACATGTGTGTACATCCATGTACATGTGTGTACATCCATGTACATGTGTGTACATCCATGTACATGTGTGTACATCCATGTACATGTGTGTACATGGGTGTACATATGTGTTCATGTTTTTACATGGATTTACATATTGTACTTCTGTGTAGATGTGTTATCATGTTCATACATGGATTTACATATTTTTACTTCTTTGTAGATGTGTGTACATGTTTGTACATGGATGTACATTTGTGTAGATGTGTGTACATCCATGTACATGTGTGTACATCCATGTACATGTGTTTACATCCATGTACATGTGTTTACATCCATGTACATGTGTGTACATCCATGTACATGTGTGTACATCAATGTACGTGTGTGTACATCAATGTACATGTGTGTACATCAATGTACATGTGTGTACATCAATGTACATGTGTGCACATCAATGAACATGTGTGTACATCAATGTACATGTGTGTACATCAATGTACATGTGTGTANTACATCCATGTACATGTGTGTACATCCATGTACATTATGTGTATATCAATGAACATGTGTGTACATCAATGTACATGTGTGTGCATCAATGTACATGTGTGTACATCAATGTACATGTGTGTACATCAATGTACATGTGTGTACATCAATGTACATGTGTGTACATCAATGTACATGTGTGTACATCAATGTACATGTGTGTACATCAATGTACATGTGTGTACATCAATGTACATATGTGTACAACAATTTACATGTGTGTACATCAATGTACATGTGTGTACATCCATGTACATGTGTGTACATCAATGTACATGTGTGTACATCCATGTACATTTGTGTACATCAATATGTTATCATGTTCATACATGGATTTACATAATTTTACTTCTGTGTAGATGTGTGTACATATTTGTACATGGATGTTCATTTGTGTGTACATATTTGTACATGGATGTTCATTTGTGTACATGTGTGTACATCCATGTACATGTGTGTACATCCATGTACATGTGTGTACATCAATGTACATGTGTGTACATCAATGTACATGTGTGTACATCAATGTAAATGTGTGTACATCAATGTACATGCATGTACATCAATGTATATGTGTGTACATCAATGTACATGTGTGTACATCAATGTACATGTGTGTACATCAATGTACAT